ATTAAAAATTAGGAAGACATTGCATCTAACAACAGGTAGCTCATGGTCCATGTTAAAGGTAGCAGATTTAATGGAGTTATATACTATGAACCAACAGAAGAGAAAGAAAGAAAGGAAGATAAGCAAGTGCCACCTTGAATGGACAATTATTTGCAGACAAGATAGGCTCAAGGTAAGAGAACTATAAACTGTGAAATTAGTATGCTACAACTGAATTCAAATCATGGTCCCATTTACAGTTTTGTATACATATTATTTCTTCTTGCTAAGTCTCAGTTTTCTCATCTAGATAATGAAGTTATCATTCGTAACTACTTCATGTGTGTTCTGTGAAAATTAAATGAAGTAACATGTGTGAACCCTTTAGTAAAGTACCTTGTAGATAGTAAGCCTTCAATATGTTAACTGTTGCTATTACTATTAAAGCCATTAACATTAATAAACTTTTGAATCATTTTACTCTGAAGAGAAGCACAGAAGAGGGAGTTATAAGTTTACATAATGTTAAATGTAATTCTAGTTCCTCTCACCAGAAATCATATATAAAATATTGTTCAAGCATCATGTCTTTCAAACATTAATTAAAGTAGGAATAACAATACCATGGTGCACATATTTGATAAACCATTATAATTGGTTTCTATTTTAAAACTTAAATATAAGAGCAATTTTTATGTTCATGAAAACACTATTAAACAGGATTCACCTGTATAATCATTTTGATCAAAGAACATAGTCCTTTTGAGAAAGTTTTTAGAAGCACAGAGCTTAGAACTCTATAAGCTACTCAATTGTCAGATCGTTCAAACTGTCATTGAGCTATCACTTTGTAAAATAAGCATAGGCTGTGGTTGCCTGGAAACCACTCCTCTATGCCTACCTTTCAGTTAATGATGCTTATGATGCAGAATTCTATGGGAGGATTAAATACCATTTATTTTTACAGGATGAGGGGATCTAAAACATCAGTCAGTGCAATCAAGGAACAACTACAAAGTGATCTTCAGGGCTTCTGAGCATTACAGAAGATAAGATTACAGTGTCAGAATTGGACCACTTCATTGTAAAAGAGAAAAGAAAAATCAAAAAACTGAATAAATATAAGCATCTCCAAGGCTGATTTTAAAAATGAAGTTACAAAATAATAATATTTACTTATTTAAAAACTATATTTTACTGCATTTCATTTCCTTATCTTAGCCCCAAGCATTTTATAGACTCCTTCAGGTCATTGGAGTCTCACTACAAGTATGATTGGAATCATTTGCTCACTGATTACAAGGTAGTCCAGATCTGGGGTATTGGGAGTAAGGGGAAGGTAGATTCAATAAGGACATTCACTAAGAAGGGGAGTGGTGGAGATGGACGAGGGTGTGGACAGAGGATCGTTTCAGTTTTGACCATGATAATTTTGAGATTCTTGCTAGATCTCTAAGTGGAAATTTCAGAGAAGTATTTGGATATGAGTTAGTGGTTCAGGGCAAAAGTTCAAGTTAGTGGTAAGTTTTAGGAGTTACTGCATACAAATTACTACTTGCACCCTTGAATCTAGGGGAAAGGAGACTGAGTGACAAGAACTAGAGCCTAAAACTAACCAAGGAGAAGTTTCATACTTAAAACTTGTGTAGTGATACCTAGCTGGTTAAAGTTTCTGAGGAAAGTCCAGAGTCATTTAAAAGAGATCAAGAGAATGAATACTCAAGGGAAACAAGTGCAAATAGCGGGTTCATACTGAATATACAGAATTCTATGAGTGGTTGAATAAGATGAGAACTGAAACATTAACTGTGGGAACTGGGGCACAGTGGTCACTGATGACCTTATCTAAGTAAAAACCTAATAAAATGCAGACATATATCTGAGTAAAAAGTGTTCAAGTGTAAGGAAAAAATGAGAATGTGCATACTTGTCTCGTTCAAGAAATTTGTAAGTAGATAGGGGAGATAGATAGTCCTCCTTCAGCTAAAGAGGGTTTGGAGTCTAAATATGCATGCTTTGGTTTATGTTACAATCCAATGTCATGTGAAAGAATGAGCAAAAAAGAAAAATAAGGGATAATGTGGGTATACATTTCCCGGGTAGGAAGAAAGTAGGACTCAGAAGAGAGATGAACAAGTAACTAACCAAAGGGAGAAGGATGGGTATTTCGAAGGAAAGAGAAAGAATTGATAAGGATTACAGATAGAGATTGGTTCATAGATGGATGGCTTGCAATTAATAAAGATCCCATATCTACAGAATTCTAGCCTCAAGCCTAGAGAAATAAAGAGAATATTTCCTCAGAATTTTGAGGGAAATAAAGACGTGAGTGTGGGAAGCCACTCCTGAACTATTTAGCATCTTCACTCAGACTTGAGCCAAGGAGATTTTGGTTTGGCAAGTGTAAGTTATTTTGTGGCTCCTCCCACTTAATGGATTAAGCAATGCACGTGACCTCAGTCTTCCCTTGGATAGGGAGACAGCTCTGGAATTGGGCATAACCCATTGGGTCTGGACAGCCCAACTCCTACCTTATTTGGCAAAAGACCATTCTGTAGAAAACTTTTAATGTTTCCCCCATATAAATAAACTATATGCGGCCTCTCACTCTGTCTTCTCAGTGTGGAAGCTTGACCCCTAAGGTCTAGCAGCCGTTCCACCCCCACTTTCTAAAACTACTTTCTGTGTAGTGTGGTTTCTTTTTTTTAATATTTATTTTTTAGGTGTAGATGGACACAACACAATGCCTTTATTTTTATGTGGTGCTAAGGATCGAACCAAGGTCCCGCCTGTGCAAAGCAAGCTCTCTACCACTGAGCCACAACCTCAGCCCCTGTAGTGTGGTTTTTTTTACTGCCTTCTTTTCTTAGCTTAATGTCACAGTCTGCTCACTCCATGCAGAGGAAACCCAAATTCCACCGTGGGCACCGACATGGGCGAGACTTGAGATCAATCTTTTTTTTTTTTTCTTTTTTTTTTTTATTATTAGTTGTTCAAAACATTACAAAGCTCTTGACATATCATATTTCATACATTTGATTCAAGCAGATTATGAACTCCCATTTTACCCCATATACATATTGCAGATTCACATCGGGTACACATATACTTTTTTACATATTGCCATACTAGTGTCTGTTGTATTTTGCTGCCTTTCCTATCCTCTACTGTCCCCCCTCCCCTCCCCTCCCCTCCCCTTCCATCTTCTCTCTCTACCCCATCTACTGTAATTCATTTCTCTCTCTTGTTTTTTTTCCCCTTTCCCCTCACTTCCTCTTATATGTAATTTTGTATAACAATGAGGGTCTCCTTCCTTTACCATGCAATTTCCCTTCTCTCTCTCTTTCCCTCCCTGCCACAGTTTGGCTGCAGCAAACTAACAGGGTGACAAGCAACTTCTGTACATTGATACAGCAGGAGTAGGAGCCGTTTATTGTAGGACCAGAGGGGTATATATACATTCCACACAGCTTATCTTAATTAACATAAACTAGATACAGCAGTCAACCAATAAGGAATCTCCACACTTAATGGCTCACTGGCGTTACTTTACAAACCATTCCCTCTGCAAAATGCCAGGCGCCATCTTGACTTGTTTACAGACTCTAACACCTCCCCCCTCTTGTCCCTGTTTAATGGTGATCTTCTTCTCATGCTCTTCCCCCCATTCTGTTCTTAGTTGCTCTCCTTATATCAAAGATGACATTTGGCATTTGTTTTTTAGGGATTGGCTAGCTTCACTTAGCATAATCTGCTCTAGTGCCATCCATTTCCCTGCAAATTCCATGATTTTGTCATTTTTTAGTGCACAGTAATACTCCATTGTGTACAAATGCCACATTTTTTTTTATCCATTCATCTATTGAAGGGCATCTAGGTTGGTTCCACAGTATAGCTATTGTGAATTGTGTTGCTATGAACATCATTGTAGCAGTATCCCTATAGTATGCTCTTGTAAGGTCTTTAGGGAATAGTCCAAGAGGGGAATAGCTGGGTCAAATGGTGGTTCCATTCCTAGCTTTCCAAGGAATCTCCATACTGCTTTCCAAATTGGCCGCACCAATTTGCAGCCCCACCAGCAATGTACAAGTGTACCCTTTTCCCCACATCCTTGAGATTAATCTTGACAGAGGCACTTGATTAGAGGTCAATGATCATGAACATAGGTTCAGCTAATTTTCTTCAATTGCACAGGAAAAAGAAGGTACCAGAAAGCTGTATTTATTTAGGATAGATGGAGTATATGATTTACTGGAATAAGAGTATGTGGTGCTAAGGATCGAACCAAGGTCCCGCCTGTGCGAAGCAAGCTCTCTACCACTGAGCCACAACCTCAGCCCCTGTAGTGTGGTTTTTTTTACTGCCTTCTTTTCTTAGCTTAATGTGACAGTCTGCTCACTCCATGCAGAGGAAACCCAAATTCCACCGTGGATAGAGAGACATATACCAAAATTTGAACCTGGAGACTATTGGGGCAAGAAACTATTAGTGTGATAGGGTCAGATTTTAAATAATATACTAGGAATAGGAGGTTAATATTCATAATTTATTTATTATTATATCTTCATCAACTAGCACATTTGTAGTACATAATTAGTGCTTACATGTTGTATGCTGAAATATTATGGAGCAACTCCTTTTCTCTTGAATACAGCTATAAACTTTGGTTAAAGAAACATGTCAAAACAAAAAGATGAGTACATTTGCTTTCAAAATCTTTGAAAACTCTGATTTAATAAGTGGTATCCATTCATTTCAAAATTATAACCTGGAGTTCATTTTATGAACTCAGAGTATAAGTGGTGTAAATTCTACATTATACCAGAATAACTGTGAAAATGGCCTAGAAGGAGAAATACTAACCTAAAAACTTAATTTGGTTAATAAGGATTTATCGTAAACTACTAAAGTCATTTAAAAATACTCCTTTGTGTTATTTCCAAATATCTTAATGTTCTGTGTCTTCAAAACCATTTATTCAGTGATGTGGTTAGTCACTGTGATTTTAAACTCCAAAATATCTGCACTTAATTAAGTCAACTGGGCCGGGTCCTTTGTGGTGTGGTGGTATGCATGGCTGCAAACAGCAGTCTTCCCCAAAGACTAAGCAGCCCCGTTTCTTGCACGTGCCTAAGGCACCTGGGACAGCCCTTTCCAGAGGACATCTCTGGCCTCCTCCTGCCCCCAGTCTAGGCTCCAGACAGTTATTTAGGATGCCTTTGGAAAACTGCAAGGCATGGTAACCGGGATTCACATTGACAAAGTTATTATGTCCGTCTGCACCAAGCTGCAGTACAAGGAGCATGGGATTGGGTCCCTAGGCAGGGATAAATTTGAGTTCTATAGCTGCTACCAGATCTACATCTAAAAGAAGTAGGACTTTCCCAAGTTTATTTCTGTTGAATTTGAAGAGAGAGTGGCTGAACAGTTGAAATGTCAAATACAACCTCAATCCAAGTCCCATGGACACATGGCAGGCTTTGCACTTGTGAGGGCTTCCACGGTGCTGCTTTGTCCTTAATCATGTCCACCAATAAATCCTACTTGCTGTCTACCTAAAATAAGTAAATAAATAAAAGAAACCTCCAAAATACTGGATTGGCTCTTTTTCAGGAGGTAGAAATAGTGTTTTCAATATAGAGCTCCTTTAATCGGTACTACCAGAAAATCAAAACATTTTCTTATGTCTGCTTGGTTCTCAAATGTATTCTACGACCACACCCCTTCTCTGATTGCCAAAACCTAAATAAATAAAGTCTAAGTAATTCAATAAGGAATTTATGTCCTCTGCAAACCAAACCCAAGCAAACCTCTATGTCCTGTTACTTTTTTAACCCTCCAGATCTACCCTACTGTATTTCTGGCAACCACCACACCCTGTGGGCACTAAGCTTTCATTTACCTCCAACCCTTGCAAGCACCTGGAATTCCTATGCAACTCCTCTAACTGGGGAGATTTAGCTCTTTCTAAAGGCCGAGTTCCTGTCATGCTAGTTCTGGGACATTACCTGTCAAGGCCATGCCCCTGTACCCACAAAAAGGAATACCTTCCTTAGGGATTTTCTGGTGTTCTGTCTTCCTACAGAAGAAGCTTCCTATAAGACTCTGTCTTATTCTACCAAAAAAAAACTATAATAATAGTTATTACTATCATTTGGGAAATTGAGCATGTACAAAGTGTTTTGTATTGAACTCAGCAGGAGAAAACAAGCAAACAAATTATTTGAGAAGAAAATTGAATTTTGTTTCCTAGAATGAAAGATCTGCGTTTTTCCAGATGGACGAGGATAAAATGGAAGATGCTGTTTTGTTTGGTTCTGTTATATTTTTCCATGCTGAAGAAGACATACAAATGACCAGCAGGAATGTGAAAAGGTGCTCAACATCAGTAATCATCAGGGTAATGCAAATCAAAATCATAATGAGGTGTCACTTCATACCTGTTAGGTTGGTTATTGTTAATAGCAACAATAAAAAAGAAGTGTTGGCAAGGATGTGGTGAAAAGGGAATCCATATACACTGTAGGTGGGAATGCTAATTATTACAGCTGTTATAAATAATACTTTGGAGGTGTCTTAAAATTAGAAATTAAATTACCATATGATCCAGCAATTCAAATACTTTCGTACAGTTATGCTTCAGTATCCATGCACAAGTGGTTCCAGGATACCCCTCAGATATCAAAATCTGCGGATGGTGAAATGCCCTATAAAAAATGGCATAATATTTGCATATAATATATGAACATATTCTTGTATACTTTAAATCATCTCTAGGTTACTTACAATCCCCAATATAATGTAAATGCTATGTAAATTGTTGTTATACTTTATTTTTTAGCAAAAAAGAAAAAAATGGTGTATGCCATCAGTACAGATGCAAACATGATAGGCCCATATACAAGTACACAAATGAGATGTGAGGTGAACAATGCTCCAACAAGTGCGGGAGTGACAGACTAAAATCTGTGAAGCGTCAAGTATGCCTGCTCATTAATGACTTCTTTCACTAGAATCATGCATAATATCTGGCAGATTCAAGTTTTGGTTTTTGGAACTTCATCTCATTTTTTGAATATTTTCAATCTGGGTTGAATCCCCAGATGCAGACCTCAAGGTTATGGAGGGCTGACATTACATGCAAAAGAAATTGAACTTAGAATCTCAGAGAAATCTCTGCACTCCTATGTGCATTGTCTCACATTCATGAGAGCCAAAGTATGAAAACAGCATAAGTTTTTAACCCACCTTCAATGGGTACATGAATTAAAAACTTAAGGTATTTATACAATGGAATATATTCCATCCTTAAAAAAAGAAGAAAGACAAAATACTTCTTTTATTTTTATTAAGATTTTGGATGTTGGTAAATGAGAAAGTCTTTTTTTGACCGGTCATTTTCCTTTATTATAATATCCTTGTCATGTTTTGTATCATTATTATCCAGATTGAATAAGTTAATAAGTAGATTCTCTCTTTTTTGTTGTTCATTGGTAAGTGTTATTTAGGTATTATGTTTTTCCTTCTATATTGGAAGGATTTCACAAGTAATTCTATTATAACTAGAGACTGGTTTGTAGGGATGTTTACATATTAGAGATTCTATTTTATGCCTTAATTATAAATTATTATAGCATCTTTTTATTCTTGGGTCATTTTTTATTAGTTGCTCAAGACAATACAATGATCTTGACATATCATACATTTGATTCAAATAGGATATGAATTCTCATTTTTCCACGTGTACAGATTGCAGGATCACATTGGTTATACATCTATGTGTATATACACAGCAATCCTAGTGTCAGTTGTATTCTGCTGCCCTCCCTATACCCCCTCCCCTCCCCTGCCCTCCCCTCCCATCACTATTCTCTACCCATTCTACTGTGATACTTCTCTCTCTCTCTTTTCTTCCCTTCCCCCTCACACCATCATATATGTATTTTGTGAACCCATGAGGGTCTCCTTCCGTCTTCCGTGCAATTCCCCTTCTCCCTCCCTTTCCCTCCCACCTCTGTTCCCTGTTTTGTGGTAATCTTCTTCTCATGCTCTTCCTTCCTACTCTGTTTTGAGTCACCTCCCTTATATCAGAGAAGACGTTTGGCATTTGTTTTTTAGGGATTGGCTAACTTCGCTTAGCATAATCTGCTCTAGTGCCATCCATTCCCCTGCAAATGCCATAATTTTGTTATTTTTTAGTGCTGAGTAATATTGCATTGTGTATAAATTCCACATATTCTTTTATCCATTCATCTGTTGAGGGCATCTGGGTTGGTTCCATAGTCTAGCTATTGTGAATTGTGCTGCTATGAACATTGATGTAGCTGTATCCCTGTAGTATGCTCTTTTTAGGTCTTTTGGGTATAGTCCGAGAAGGGGAATAGCTGGGTCAGATGGTGGTTCCATTTGGGGTCATTTTTTTATATACTATGTTCCCTCAGATGTTTTTTTTTTTTTGTATCTGGATTTTAAATGTATTTTACTAATGCTGTTATAATCTTTTAAAAATATCTGATCAATACTGATGTGTGCCTTTATTCCTGATAATTTTTCTCTTCTTGCTATATCTTGATCAATTTTAGCATAAGTTTGTATTTTGGTGTTCTTTCCATTCAAAAAATATTGATTTTATTCATCATCTCTACAATAGGTTATTTTCTACATCATTAATTTCTGGTCTTATCTGTTTTCCTTTCTCCCTTCTATATTATATGAATGTAATTTGTTGTTCTTCCACTTTTTGAGATTAATAAATAGAACATTGCTTTTAAGACTTTATCTTATCTAATATACACTTAACATAAAGACTTTTTGTCTTTTATTGTGGTAAAATTGACATAAACAAAAGCCAGAGATATTTCTTGATGCATATTGATAGATGGTTCTACTTGCAAAGCCATCATCACAATCAAGATATAGAACACCAGAAAGTTTTCTTAGGTTTTTTTCTTGCATTTCTTCAACTCTGAGAGACAACTACTATCCTGATTTCTAACTCCATAAGTTTTGCTTGTTCCAATTCTAAATAAGTAAAACTATAGACTATATACCATTTATGCATTTATTCTTTCTTTCAAAGTGTTGCATTTATTATCTTTAAAATGTCTGCTCTTTAAAATAGAAATAAAATTAGTAAACAGTAAAAACACAAATCTTAAATGCCCAATTAAATGACTTTTGACAAATGTGTAACCATCTTCTCAATTAAGATATAGAATGATCTATCATCTGAGGAAGGCCCCTAATGCAACACTTGGCAACCACTACTCTGATTTATATCATGAAAATTACTTTGCTTTTTTGTTAAATTTATAATGGAATTATATAGTATGTTTTTCTTGTATTCAGCTTCTTTATTTTAATATTTTGTAGATGCATCACTGTTGTAGCATATATCAACGATGCAATCTCTCACGGTGCTGAGAAATATTCCACTATAACAATATACTATAAATTGTTTTGTGAAATTATGTATATTGTTTATCTCCTGTTAATGGACCCATTGATTCCCCTCCCACCCCCGAGTTATTGCTCATTATGAATATGGCTGCTTTAAACATTTTTATGCAAGTTTATTTGTGGATACATTTTTTCATTTCTCTGTAATAAATCCCTAGAACTACTGGATCATAGGATAGATGTATGTTTACTCTTGTAAGAAACTGCAATATAGTTTTTTTTTTAATTTCCTAAGTGATTGAATCACTTTAGTGAACTACTATTAATGCATGCATTTCAACATGCTCTACATCTCACTCATTATTGGGGGTCATCAGCTTTTAAAATTTTAGTGATTACTGTGGCTTGAAGTATTATCTTGAGGTGGTTTTATATTGCTTTTCTCTGATAATTAATAATATTGAATGTTTTTTTATGTGCTTTTCTGGCATATATTCATCTCTTGTAGAAGTTTATGTTCAAGTCCCCTGAAAGTTTTTGCATGTTTTTGTATTATTGATTCATAGAAATTTTTTATATATTTTGAATAAAAGTCCTTCTCCAAATGCTTTGTCTGCCTCCATTGATAAGATACTATGCTGTTTTCCTTCTTTATGTGAATATGGATATAAATAATAGAGTTACTTACAGCTGAATTAGGGTAGTATAATAATGTGCAGGGATGCATGGGAGTTTGGGAAAGACTTGACCA